ATAATAATGATAATAATAATGATAATAATAATGATAATAATAATGATGCTGGAAGAAAACTTCAGAAACCATTTAGTCTACCCTCCTACTCTTGTATTTTTGAAAATCTCAAAGCTGTTGATCAAACTGCTTTGAGAGGGGCTTTTTTTATTGGCACAAGGACAATGACCACAGTAATTCCTATGCAAAGTGTGCATATGAGGGCATTAATTCACTAAAGTAGTTGGTTCCCATTTCTGACAGAAAGTCAGAAAACTTTTTAATGGTGCTTTTCATCCTTGCTGGTTTCTTTGTGTAAGGCACTGCAGTCTGCCTGTTTTACAAATCCTACTTGTTTAAGTGTCATTTGCCCCAGTTTTGCCAGAAAAATCCTTTGGGAGTCTCAGCCTGTAACATTCTAAGCTCCACTCCAAGTGAATCATCAGTGAGCAGCAGCTTTAAAAATGAGATTCTTCTAAGTCAGCCAAAACCAGAAAACCAATCCTTCCCTCCCCAAAACACTTGAAACAGATTGCCAATTACAGCAATTAGGATGATTTTTCATATATTAAGCTTCCTGTCTCTTGATTATTAGTTAATTAGCTCTCCAGCACTGAAGAGGTTTCTGCTGTAAATAAAATGTCTAATTTTAAAGTAAACAGAGAGGGATAAAAAAACTAAATACTTCCCATCCCCCTGTCCCTTTATGGCTTTCAAAAGGGGAAAAATTATGCTGGAGAGCCACTAACTTCAGGAGCAAGTTTTCCAGGCTGCAAATTAACAGTGCCTCCCTAACTCCCAGGAAGGATCTGAGGATTAATGCTTGTAAAATGCATTGAACACGGAAAGGCCACTGTGAGGTAGTATCACAGCACTCCTATTACCCAGCTTATATCTCTGTCTTTTTGCAGAACTACTAGAGCTTTTTTAACCCCATTTCAGAAAGATTTCAACTCAACCTTTTATGAAAGGAGAACTATAAATAGCCTCTTAGATTAAAACCCTTAACAGCTGAGAAGGCTGGGAAGGGAGGTGGATATTATCCACCTTTCAGGAGTACAAATTGGGGCTGGAAGGGCTTAATTACAAAGATATCCTTAAGAACACACTAAGGGCTGCTGTAAAAATTACTTCAATTACAGCAGCTCCACAGCTGGGAGAGAGGAAACCACTGCTCCTCTCTCTCCTGTAGAGCCCTTCCTCCCAGGTGGCTTAACAGAACCTCTCCATCAGTTATGCCAAGGATTTGGCTTCCTTTGTTTTCACTTTGAAATCCCCAAGTGGAGATGCACTGCCTGCATAACCTGAAGTAACTAAATCCAAGGAATTATCCTGGAAGTCTCTCAGGCAGAAAGAAATACTTAAACCCCATACTTTGGATCTGAACGTGGAATTCAGGATTTCACGTGAATTACTCACTGTCCTGAAATGGGGAATTCATGGTTTTCCCTAGGACTTCATCTGCGATGATGTATTCTTATTTATGATGTCATTAATGCTTTTTGTATTTACAAATAAATGGGTAATTCACAATGAGTGTTCAGGGCAATAATTTCCTTTAACAGTCAAGGTAGTCCTCATGGTTTCAGTATTCCTGTGCTAAGATTTTTGCAATGGTGCTCAACTGGATATTTGAGGTTCCTTCATATATTGTACCTGAAATCAGAAGAAAATAAGTTAGCAGACTGAAAAACCACAGTGAATATATGAAGAGACCAAAATATCATTCTAACAGTCCAGTTAGAACATTTTCAATTATGAAGTGAAGCTTTACTGAGTAAAGTACTAACACAGAATCATAATAATATATATATAATATTATAAAATATAAATGTTCATGTTTTATTATCTGCAACAAGTAAAGCACTCTTCTGGCTGGCACAACATAATGACAAGACATTTCCATGAAAAGCAATTCCTAAATAGCCAACAAAAATTAAGCAGTTCCAAATGCTATCCCAATAAAAGCCAAAGGGTAATATTGTTAAAAATGCCAGTATTGGGTCCAAAGACTATCCCAGTAAACAAGGAATCTTGAAAATAGAACTCCACATCCGTTCAGATCTTAAAGCCAAAGTGGCTATTTTTAATTTTTTTGAACTGGAATTTTCTTAATAGAATGGGACACAATGTTTGTGTCTATTTTATTGGTATGTAATTAAACATTTTAACTAGCCTTACATACACAGGTATTTACACCTGAAGTTTTATATTCTTGTATCTGAGCCTTTGAACCCATATTCACATAGTCTTAGGGAAAAAAAATACCTTGGAAAAAAAAGCCAGTCATTCATCCTCTTTAAAACCACTAATGCTACAAGAAATACTTGTTAAGAAACTATCACTCACCTATCTTGCAGTCACGATAATACTTTTCTATTGGGTAATTTTTTGTGAATCCAACACCTCCCATCCATTCGATACATTTACTAGTTGTCAGTGTTGCAACCTATGAAAATAGTATCAGAGTTACAGGATTCAATTTCCTGACAGTGGCAGTAAATGGTATTTTTTGTAGCTATTTAAAGAAAAAACAAACCAGGGAATAAAGCAGTAACCAGAACCGGTGGGAGCAGGAAGGGTTGATATTTTTGTATTCATCTTCAGCAAGCCATTTTAGAATAAAAAAGACATTTTTCCAAATCAAGAATTCATTAAATGTTAGAGCAGCAGTTCCTATGCTGCACTATGGAAAAGGCTAAAAGTGGTATGTGAGACAGCAGTTGCAAAGAGGCAGAAGTCACCCGGTTTTGAATCATTTTAAGAGTCATAGTTGTGACCAGCAGAGCTGAAATGATCACAAATGAACTCTCACAGTGTCATTTCTCACACCACAAAAAGAGAATTCTGAGAAAATTAAATCCCTGCAGATGAAGTGAAAATATTAATTCACTTTCCTCTTTTAATGTCGTTGCTTCGTTTTAAAAAATTTGTTTAGAGGCACGAGGGTGACTTACTTTACATTCTGTACATGGACTGAGAATCACAGAATTACAGAAGAGTTTGGGTTGGAAGGGACCTTAAAGATAACCTAGTTCCAGCCCCTTTCCATGGGCAGGGACACCTTCCACTAGCCCAGTGCTCCGAGCCCCGTCCAGCCCAGCCTCGGACACTTCAAGGGATGGGGGCGGACAAGACGAAAGTACATCCACAGATTTCACGGCAAAAGATGAATTACAAGCTATGTGTTTGTAGCAGAAGGCACTTCTAAGCAGCAGAGTGACATGACCCCAGAGGATGGAGAGGCTGGGTTACCTCAGCAGCGTAGTACTTGGCCATGCTGGCCTCCTTGATGACAGGCCGGCCGGTCTCGGCGAGCCGCGCCGCGTTGTAGGTGAGCAGCCGCGCCGCCTCCAGCTGCGTGGCCACCTGGGCGATCTGGTGCTGCATCCCCTGCAACCGGCACAACACAGCTCACACAGCCCCGCTGGGATTCCCACCAACAGGCATTCCCTTCCCCACGGAACATACCCACATGTGGCAGGATTCAAATTGTGTGAACAATTTCTATTGCATTTCTGTAGGCCTTGCTTGACGTGACTTTAGAAGTTGTAAGCTGTAATGTTTATACTTATAGACTGTGTGAAAATATGTAATGTTTATACTTGTTAGCTGTGTGCCTAATTATAAGGTTTGAGAACATAGCATGTTTAGAGCAAGAAAGCCTTGAGGAAGTATAGATAAAAGTACACCTGCAAATTTCAGAAAGCCCCTAATTATGAAGGCCTCTACATGCCAAGTATGATGTCAGGCTGTGTGGACAGAACATCAGGTCCAATGAACTGGAGACATGAGACGTGTGTACAGACTGAGCTATCCAATCACCTTGTTGTAAGCATGTACCCAAAACAAACTAAACTGTATAAAAGTTGACTTATTTAAATAATAAATGGAGCTTGTTGATTCTCATATTGAGCATCACTTTCTTCCCACGTCGCGACACCCACACTCTAAAATAAATCTACAAAACCCGGGTGGATTCCAGTAGTTCCGCGTTCCTTTGCATCTATTGACACTGAAAACCTCCGGGCCGCTGATGTGCTTTTAGGAACTGCATCCCTATTTTCTCCCTCTTTCCTTGGATTCAGGACTGGGGTACTTCTTGCCTGACTGGCTGGACAGCAGCAAGAACTACCTACTACTTACCTATTTGCACCCCTGAGTATCAGGGAGAATTTTAGCCAAACCTTAAGGTCCTGCTCGGCACGGGGAGGCCAGAGCTGGGTTTTATTCTGCAGCTGTTTATTGAGGACGTTCATACAGTAACAACCCTGGTTCCCTGGTTAGCTTAACACAGGAAGACTTGCAAACTAGCACCTCTTGAATAAAGTGGAGCACTAGGAAGGTGGCAATCTCTTGCCATGTCTCAGAGGCACCAGTCAAGGGTTAGGAGCAGCATAAAGGTACAGAGGACACGACTGAGGAACGGATTCAAGGGGAAGGAAAAAGGTGATGGAGCTCACATCTAAATGGCAGGTATTACAGAAGAATGGGTTTATTTAAGAAGACCCAAACATTATGATGATTGAAAATGAACATTTAGTAGTCTAAAACACAATGAAATCTTTCATCTTATTAGGGCATTAACACGGTTCCCTCAGATTTGCAGAAATATATATGCAGGTCAAAATACCAAAATGATTTGGCAATTATAAATTCCATTTCCCATTCAAAAGACGCAGTTCCAATCATTTCCTAGGTATCTGTGAGTGCTTCCTAAAATTTGCATAAATTATGAGTAGTGCTAATGTTCCTTCTCTTCAGCTGAGATGTAGGTTTCTTTTAACGAGAAAATTACTATAGTAATTACAATTATGTATCTTCCTTATTAAACTATACATCATTTTTGCAACAAAGAGTCTCTTTCGTTGTAAGATACAGATATTATAATGAAAACTAAATGTCTTCGTATAACACAGGAAATCTAATAGTTCAATCAGTTTTCCACATCTTTTTATAATTTCTAGTGGCTCCAGAAAAAGGCCTTCCCCTGAGTATAAAAACTGGAACATATTCAACAGACTGTGATAATAAAATCAGAAGAAAAAGGAGTTCCATGTATATTATTTTCAAAGGCTGCCAGTAAGTTATCAAGCAAAAGGAGTCATGTCAATAATGTTTTTAAGTTTTAAATTATTTTTATGTTATTTCATATTACTCATTTTACTGACTACTGTGGTAACCACTTCCTTCTTGGAGAGCACTTCCCATATTTTCATTAACAAGTACCTGGAAATCGAAGACACTTTTCCCAAACTGGACTCTCTCTTTTGTATATGGAACTGTGTGGTCAAAACACCCCTGTGCCAGTCCTAACATCTGTAAGAAATAATAAAGAATATGGTCAGTAAAAACTGGTTAATTGAATACACCTAATGGAGATGATAACAGCTGATCTTCTTCTGGTCAGGCAGCTTAATATTCAGGAGAAAAGTTCAGTTTTCTTCCTACCTACACAAATCTAAAATACAATAAAGGTTCTACACAGAATCTCAAGAGCCAGAATTTTACAGTTATTAGACACACTGAGGTGAATTATGATAACAAAAAGAGTTTGAGGAACAAGCCTATTTCATGCTATTCCATTTCTTGCCATAGGCAAGTATTTGTGAAAACCACTGATTTTTGAACAAAACTTATGGGTCAGCTCTGGTTGTATAAATATTAAGTGTTTCTGGGAAAATTTGTAATTACATGGGAAAATTACTGTAAACTAAAGATCTATAGATCTACATTACACTATTAAAGGAAAAATAATTTGAATGATTAGTCAAAGCTATTTTCATAATCAAAATAATTTCTCATTTTCTAGAGGACACTAGACTGCCAGAATTAGCAATTTCCTTCAGAAGTTAGAAAATTAGTGGAGTGGAAGGAGAGTTAACATTTCTTCCAGTATTTTCCAACTCTGCAAAACAACTGTAGAAGAATTTAGACCAATTTTGTCTTTCCACAAGGACAAAAGCAGTCAGCTGTCACATCAAGCAGCTCAGTCAAACTACCTTTAATGATGTCTGTGGGTATTTTTGGACAGACCCACATATTAAGCTGATAAAGACATGATTGACTAGGTCATCTATACCTTAATCATTTAAGTTTTTAGAAAAAAAAACCATGATACATAGGAAAATAACCCAAGAAAACATTGCAGTCTGCTGCTAATCAGCCCCATTACCAGATTTGTTATATATAAACTCATATAGAAAAGCCAAGGACATCAACTTCACCACCTGTAACAATATGTGCAGCTGCCTTGCACTAAAACTATCTGAAACTGTTTTCAAAGCCACAATTACATTTTTTAAGATCTTCATTATCTTTTAAAACTATTACTGCTGCAAAACTAAACTCAATACTACAGGGCTTTAGAGCTGCTGCTCTTGACAAGTACATTTCTCTCAATTTGAAGGTGCCAAGAAAGTAGTACCTAAGATATAACAACTACCTGACCTTAACTTTTAATTAAGGTGTAACTTGGAGTAATTAAGAGTAAAATCCAGACCGTGTATTTTACTGCCAGAGCCTCTATATTATTTATATCTCTGGGAACAATGGGGCCCACAGCCCTTTTTAAATGCCAAATCAGACAAAGTTTAATCACAGGTAATCTTTAGAAATGATGGAAAAGTGAGTCCAATTATCAGCCACGTGGAAAGTCTAAATTTCATGAGGACGATTACTTCTGGTCTGTCTGCAAACCAGGGCAAAAGATAAAGGAGTTTGGTAGTACAGACATAATGCACAACAAAGTAGAAGCAAAGAAAAGACTACTTGCTAAAGTAAGTTAAAAATATAAAAACTTATCATAAATCATTTTATTATATTGCTGAACCTGATTTCCACTGAGATCAGCAGCAATCTGAGATCAAAACTGGCTTTACAGAGAAATACAACATTCTGAAATTACTTCAAGGTCAGTAAATACTTTCCCCTAAGATGCCACATGGTGCAATTTTCAAACACAACAATGAACTGGAACAGTTCTGCCACAGAAAATCGTATTTATTTTAAAAATAAGTTGACTTTTAAAATTAAGTTATTGGGAAGACATCAGTCAGCATAAGGTCACATTTGCCCATCCCATACAATCACAGTTGGAAGCATTAATATTATACATTTCAGTGTGTTCTATTTTCCAAAGCTAGTTTTCTGTGTAAAATAAATTTTCATAATGGAAGACAAGAATGTTGACATAATTCAGTGGCAATAAGATAACGACCACAGACAAGTTAATTGCCATTTAATGTTTTCTAAATCCATTGCTTATGTCACCAAAGGAGAATTTTCCCTCTGACAGTTGTTCCCACTTTTACTGGAATTTAGCTACAGGAACAGTGACATCTAGTGGCAGCTGAGCTTTTAATAAAGCCTTTTCTAAATCGTTTATTCTTAATAGCTTTAAATATTTCATAAATTTCAATCCAAACTGGCTGCATTCAGTAATAAAGCAAATGACCCACCTGTGCAGCAATCCCTATCCTGCCAGTATTGAGCAATCCAATGGCATACTTATAGCCTTGTCCAACCTGTCCCAGGATATTGGTCTCAGGAACCTAAAGAATAAAACCACTCCATTATTCCAGTTCTGTTCTGCAACTGCTCGTAGGGTTCACAGATGAATCAGTGCACATGTTTTATTTAATGTTCCTCCGAAGCGAAGGCATAAAACATAAACCAGACATTTGATCCCCAGAATATCTGATTAGAACATTCCCTGATTCCTGTGGTTATAACCTGATGACTGAGAAAAACCGCATCAAAATTTTAGAAACTCGAACCCCCTCGAGAACTGGGAGGGAAAAGTTAAAATATGCCAAATCTAAGGCATAAAAAATAGGGAATTTAGTTAATTTCCTTATCTGTGGTCAAGTTCCAATTAAACACAAATTATGCTTCAACAGCTGAACTTACAATACCTTCACGTTGTCAAAAGTCACTGGGCAGGTAGAAGATGCTCTGATTCCCAGCTTGTCCTCCTTCTTCCCCACGTGCAGTCCCTCTGTGTCACGATCCACTACGAAGCACGTAATTCCCCTGTATCCCTGGGGGGAATTAAAACATAATCAAGAGCTGGTTTTCACATTCATATCACCAAACAGAGGTCCAAATATCTCATTCCAACACTGAAATTTTACACTTGCTTAATACTGTATTGCTAAAGCACTGGCACTGTTGTCTGGTGGTAATTATGGTTTAACATGATGTTCAGCTGTTCAATACAATGAAAGAAAACCCCCCTTCTTATTTAAGTCAAACCAGGAAATTTTAATTCTAAAAATGAATATCTTCAAGTTATAATTTTAAGAGAGAGACACTAGAAGGAGTTTAAAAAATAAAAGTTTTGAACAATTTAGTTTTGTGTTTGATAACTGCCATATTGGTATAGAAGATTTTGAAGTCTGCAGTTGACTTTTCTCAATTTACTTCCCATATCCAAACTGGGGACAAAACTTGACACAGGCATATTCAGCTAGGTAATTTTTTCCTTGAACATACTTTACTATAGGATACTTTTTAGTTTTACAGTGGATGCAGCTTAAGCTGTATTTTGTCTTTTGACAGCAACTTGCCATTTAAGTCACAGAATATTCTGAGCTGGAAGGGACCCACAAGGATCATCAAATCCAATATCTTAAGTGAGTGACCCATGTGGGATCAAACCAGCAACCTTGGTGTTATCAGTACCATGTTTTAACCCATTGTGCCAATTTAGTTCCCCTCAGAAGGGTTGGAAAGACTCAGATTGTGTGTCCTTCTGTTACTCAGAACATCACCAATGCAGGCTGAGCTCTTCACCTCAGCAGTTATGATTCTGGCATTTTTATTTTCCCTGGCTGAAGGAAGTTATTAAATTGCTCAGCAAGTCCTCGATTTTTGTTGGGAAATATTTTTAAAGCTTTGCTGCCAGCTAGGAAAAGGCACACAGATTATTAATATGAAATCCATAGTTTCATGTACATCAGCTGTCACTGAAATGCAACTATTGTTTAGCAACTCACTGAGGATGGATCTGCATTTGCCATCACAAAGAAAACTCCTGCATGTTCTGCTAAGCTAATCCACATCTTGGAGCCATTGATAACATAGTAGTCTCCTTTCTTCTCAGCCCGTGTCTTCAAAGAAAAGGCATCACTGCCAGACCCAGCCTCTGAAAGACAGAAACTGCCTATCTGTCAAGAGAAGGGAAAAAAAAGAATTGCAGTTTTTACAGGTAACAAATTCTGCAATGAAAATGCTTATAAACAAGCACAAGTCTCTTAAATGCAAACATTTTAACCTATTGCATGAAAGTAACTGAGTTTCAGATATGGAGATTAAGAATAGAAACACTATGTAATTACACATTTCTCAAAGTCAACTGCTTTACAGTTCTTTTCCACAGTAAATTAAATTTTAATGAAACTAATAAGTGCCTTTCCACTTTTACCTCTCAGCTACTGATGACAGGATGTATCTATATCACCACAGATCTCAGCTCTAACCAGTGTTTCAAAGTTCACACATATTTTCCAGAGCTGCAGTCACACATTAGTCAGTGAAAAAGAAACCCCACTAACATTAATAAACTATAATATAATTTTAACAGTTAAGTAAAGTAAGACTTTGACTTACTGTGTCTTTAGCCACTCTGGGCAGGTAAGTTCTCTTTTGTTCTTCTGTTCCATATGTGGTAAACAATTTATTTGTTAGTGTGTTTTGGAGTTCACATAAAAGAGACACAGCTGGATCAACTTTGGCCAATTCTTCTACTGCCAATATGGTTGAAAAAAATGAAGCTCCAGTTCCTCCATATTCTTCCCCAAGCTCAATACTCATCAGCTGAAATGGAAAAGGTGCAAACACATCAATCTGTTAGTTCCTGTCAACAACTTTTCAGTCCAAGCTGATACTTAAGAGATTAAAATAAAAACCAGAGAATGTGAGCATTTGCAGATCCTTCCCCAAAACTTGTTTTCCTTCAATACCCTTAACAAACTGACAGTTCTTCACAGAATTGTTTAGGCTGGAAAACAACTTAAGGATCAGCTTTAGGTCTGACAGCAGGAAAGGATAAAACTGAATCCAGGAATGAACACCAGGATATCTGCAACAAAAGTCCTCATGGTTGCCCAGCAGGGCTTAGAGGACTCCTGATACTCTTTTCCAGCAACAGTTATCAGTCATGGCATTTCCAGCATTCCATGCAATTATGCTTATCCAATTAAAAAAAAAAAAGCAAGGAAGGGATGACAAGAAACTAAAAGATATATAATAATGTGATGTGGGGGAGGGAGAGGTTCAAAAAATATTTTAACATGGAGAGTGGTAACGCAGCAAAAAAGAAATTAAAGTTGTCTTGCTGTTGATAAAACTGAAATTTTAATGACTCCTTGCTTCATTTGAATTATATCCTTCAGTCTTTAAATCTAAAAATCTGAAAAGGGTACAGCTAGAGAGTCACAAAATGATGTTACTTTCTGGACCAAAGATGCAGTAAAAGTGTGCAGACCCCTTGTTCAAACAATCCCTGTATTATGGAGTCCTCCATTTTCGAGTTCTCATCCATTTGTTGCACGAAAGGTGCCACCCGTTCCTGAGCAAATTTTGTCACTGCAATGAAGAGAAGAAAGAAAATGTGTAAGTATTCCAACAGTCTCTTTTGGGGTCAATGTAACAAGAATGTGTTACTTCTGACAGGTTATGCACATGTTCCCTGACCCTCCCCAAAAGAAACATGGTGTAAAGCACAGTCCCCCACAACAATCTCAACATTTAACTAGAAATAAATAATCAGATTTTAAGCTAAAATTTCCCTTCTAGTTAAACATTTCTGAATTGTAACTGCACAGATAAAAGCTACCCATGTTCTTCAGCATTGTCTCCTCTTCAGTGAATGTGTGAAGTGGAGCACAGACAACTCCATCACTGGAAAGATTCGGCTTGAGTTCCGATTTGGAGGATCTGAAGGCACACTGGGAAAACCTCCAAGGAGCCAAGAATGCTGGAATATTTCTTGTCAGCTGTTGGCAACAAGTACAGAACATGCAATCAGTTAGATTTGTACACACACAGCAACACATAACTTTACTCAGTGCTTTTATTCAGTAAATGATTGGGAAACAGAACTTACATCCAACCCAGACAGCAGAGGCATTACAGGTCCCTTCTCTCTTGGGGACCTATAAACTGTTTAGTGTTCAAAGACTTACTCAAGTAGCTCACAGGCTTTAGAAAGGTAAGTTTGGTTTGCAGGCCAATATACTTTCCAAGAACAGGATGATTTCTTAGGATTTGAAAAGAAGCTGGCATAATGGATATGATCTGGCTCAAAAAGTAACTGGCCAACAGGAGCTAAACTGCTGCAAAATGTGCTCCTGAAAAGCAGGATTGAAAAAAGCAGCACAGTTTGACTGTGCCTCAAAAGGGGCGAGACAAAACAGTGACTCTGCTCTCACAGCTGCCCAAACCCACCTCGCTCTGATTTCTGTCACTTTTGCTACATCAGCCTAAAGTGTGGAGATAGGAATGTCTTACCAAGACAACTGCTGACAGAAACCTCCAGTGGAGACATAGCTGTGCCATAAAATATATGAGGAACATTTTTGGCAGCACTCAGCCTCAACCCCACAGCAGCAGAACGACTGGCTGTGCCCTCACCAGGCGCCTGTGTAGCTCCCAGAGCACAGGCCAGTTCCACAGTGCACACTGAGAGCAGCATTCCTCAAAAAACAGCACAAACTTCGGGGTCAGGAAGTAAAAATTCCTTTGATCCTTCTAATAATTCACTCTCTTTCATGATGGCTTTCAACACTTGTCATCTCCCTGGCTGAAGAAGTGATGTAAAACAGATCGATGAACTCTTTTGGTCTTAGAGACAAGAAGCACAGGTCTACTATGATAAGGAAACTCTGGTTTTAGCACAGGCTGTTGTGCAGGACATAAGAAAAAACCCTAAATGGTAAGAAGTGGTAATATAGAAAACAATATAGCTGTGAACATTCAACAGCCCTGGTACTAAATAGTGGGGCTGATTCATGAATACAAAGTCTGGATGACCAGCAGTAGCTGCGACACTTTCAAATGATGTTTCAGTTACTGGAATCACTGTGGGTCTTCACAAAAATAAAGAAAATGTTGTTTTAATAGAGATTAAAACCAAGGCAACCCTCTCTGGAAGCAGTCAGTCAGGAATGGATTATTTGCAGAACATGCAGCTATGGTGGGATCACTCAACACCTTGGTGTGCAAACATCTACCTGTGTAAGTCTGTTCTTAGCAAGGTCTGAGAAGGAAAAACCTAAGTATACACACACACATCTGTTTAACTGCGCTTCCTCAGCAGTTACAGGGCCACAAACCACACATAATTCCTGCTCCTTCCACTACTTTATTTCCAAGTACAAAGAAAAGAGCAGTTTTCTTTCATGGTGGCACAAATATGATGAATCACCAAGAATATTTCTCCAGCACTGACCAAGAGCTGTCAGGGAAAGTGCACGGTGCCTTCTTAGCAGAGAACTTTCTGAAAAGCTGCTCAGCAGGCAATAAACCAGTACTGGTGAAACAACAACAGGTAGTAGAATCACAGAATGTTAAGGGTGGGAAGGACCTTAAAGATTATCCAGTTCCAACTCTCTGCTCTGGACAGGGAAACCTTCCACTAGCCCAGGTTGCTCCAAGCCCCATCCAACCTGACCTTGGACACTTCCAGGGATGGGGCAGCCACAGCTTCTCTGGGCAACCTGTGCCAGGGCCTCATCACCCTCCCAACACCCTGGGGTTACCTCTGTTGTTGTCTGAAGGCACCTGGCATGGGAATGTAGAATTACCAGCCACATCACCCAACACAAACCAAGGATGCTGCTCCAGGAAAAGCAGGAAGTACACATCTTGCACACCACAAAAATACACAGATTTTTCTCCCATGGGAAGCTGGACAAACTTGATTAACAGCAGACCAGCAAGGTCAGGCACAAGTGCATGGAGTGACACCAGCAGAGGTGACCTGCCAAAAGCCTGGCTGGCACGTGGGAGCTTTGAAACACCAACAAACAGCTCAGAGTTACTGCAGGTCACAGCCAGTAGAGCAGGTTTGGAGAGAGAGCACCCACAGGAATTGTCCCTTCAGCCACTTCTCTTCCCTCTTTCTCATGCTCCCACTCCTTCCCATCACTTTCCCTTGGAGGCTCTTCCACTGCAGTCAACCCAGGGAGTGGCAGGGAAAGGTGTCTGACCACGGCAGGAGAAACAAAGGCTCAAACATTTAACAGACAGGGTCTAGTAAAGCCTTGTTTGATACCGGACTGCAACGTTGCTACAGGACAAAAGGAACATTCCCAACAAGGTTACCTTGAAAAGTCTTAGAACCAGCAGGATGGATCCAAGGGATGGGACTTATGCTGGCAACACCCACACACAGGGCAGCAACTCACAGGTATTGCAGAGTAATGACAGCACAGTGCAGAAATTACGTTTTAGTTCAACATTTATATTTAAAAAAACCAGAAAGAATCAGGTCACTACATTACTGTTTACCTTTTTATTCTTAGAAGTCATGCAGCCATACGGTATCACTAACTTTCAGGTAGTTATTTAAAGTGCCTGTACGTTACTCAAATCCTTGGATATTGCTTCCCTGCCCTCTTCTTCCTCCTCTTTTTCTGTAGGTAATGATTTGTGCTGCTACAGGACTCAGATTGCTTGCCCTACTCAACACATGCATTTGAAAATTGGTTTGTGGGTTGCTGATAACATTGATTTTTCTGTTTATCTTCATCCTTTCCTCCATCTCAGCTCTTTAAAGACCCGTTCTCTTGGTTTCCTTCTGTTTGTTTTACAATCTAAACCAAGATTTTAATGCTGCAGGACCTGGGGGGAGCATTAAGATATAAACAGAAAAAGGCCAAAGCAATATGTTTTCCTAAGCTCACTCTGCTTGCCTTGATGGGTTCCACTCCTGTATCCATCCCAGCTGCTTCCAGCAGAGAAGCTCCATCGTGGGAAGGTTGGTTTTCTTTATTTCGACTTAATTCAAGTGTCACAACACACCCATGAGCTGTATGAGAAGACCCCAGGCCAGCTTGTCTCACCCTGCAAAGTCAAAGCATGTGTGTGGCACAAACACAGGTTTTCTGCTTATTTTAATCCCCCTTCCAGTGCCACAAGTGTGTTTAGAGAATCACGGAATCACAGAAGACCCTGAGTTGGGAGGGACCCACAAGGACCATCCAGTCCAAGCCCTGGCCCTGCACAGACACCCCAACAATCCCACCCTGGCTCTCAGAGCGTTGTCCAAACCCTCCTTGAGCTCTGTCAGCCTTGGTGCTGTGCCCACTGCCCTGGGGAGCCTGGTCAGTGCCCAACCATCTCCTGGGGGAGGAACCTTGTCCTGATATTTAAGTAAAGGAGACCTCAAAGCCCCTCTGCTGCCGGGACGGTGCTGTCTCCTCACAAGCCATTTCACGACACTCACCAGAACCCTCCTCAGCGCGAACTTACCCAACACCGCCCCTCCAGAACATATCCAGAATGGATACAGAAACCCACATGGAAGACATCCACAAACCCCCCTCACCGCTGGCAGAGCTGCCCCTGCCCCGGCAGCCCCCGCACCGCGACAGCCCCCAGACCCGGACCCCTCATCGGCAGGCTCGGCAGCCGCCGTTATCCGGCAGGACGCGCTGCATTCCCCCCCCTTTGCCCGTCCCGCCCTGAGGCGTCACCTTCGCGCAGCCCCTGAGCCGAGCTCCCGCCGCCGCCGCCATATTGACCCGCCCCGTGACGTCAGAACCACGGCCATTACGTCAGAGCCACCGCCCCCTCCCCAGTGATGTCAGAGCCACCGCCCCGCGCGCGCGGGTCTCGCGAGAGCGCGGTGGGCGGGGCCGGGCCGGGCTGGGGGAGGCACAACAAACATGGCGGCGGCGGGAGGCGGGAGCGGCGCGGGGCGGCTGCGGTGAGTGACCGGTCCTGGGATCCCCTCGCCTTTCCTACCCTCTTCCTCGCCTCCTCCCTGTGCCGGGAGGGCGACGGCGACGGGGGCGGGGGCACAGCGCTCGGGGAGGGCCGCGCTGCCCCGCCGGGAGCGGGGCCGGGTCAGCGGCGCAGCCCCGCGGCTGCTGCCCTGGTGTGAGGCGGGGGGGACACAGTCACAGAAGCTACAGAGTCGCAGAAACGTTCAGGCTGGGAGTTTAACAAGGGCAAGTGCCGGATTCTGCTCCTGGGACGGGTCAGCCGTGGCTGTGTGTATAACCCAGGGAATGAGGTGCTGGAAAGCACTAAAGCAGTGCCGGGAAAGGGCCCTGGGGGTCCTGGTCGGTGGCCAGTTGGCCCTGAGTCAGCAGTGCCCTGGCAGCCAGGAGGGCCAACCCTGGCCTGGGGGGCATTAGAGACAGACAGCATCGCTGGCCGGGCCAGGGAGGGGATTGTCCCGCTCTGCTCTGCCCTGGGGCGGCCTCACCTGGAACACTGGGGCAGTTCGGGGGAGCACAATGTAGGGAAGATACTGAGCCATTAGAGAGTGTCCAAAAGAGGCCAGGAAGATGGTGAAGGGCTTTGAGGGGAAGCCGTGTGAGGACACTTGGTCTGTTCAGCGGGAGCAGACTAAGGGGAGACCTTACTGCAATTACAACTTTCTGGGGAGGGGCAGAGGAGGGACAGGCACTGATCTCTGCTCTGTGGGGACCAGGGACAGGACCCCAGGGAATGGCCTGGAGTTGTGTCAGGGGTGTTTCGGTTGGATAGTAGAAAAAGGTTCTTCCCCCAGAGGGTGGTGGGGCACTGAACAGGCTCCCCAGGGCAGTGGGCACAGCCCCAAGGCTGCCAGAGCTCCAGGAGGGTTTGGATGATATTCTAGGGCACAGGGTGTGACTCTTGGGGATGGGCCTGTGCAGGGCTGAGGGTTGGGTGATCCTTGTGGGTCCCTCCAACTCAGCATGTTCTGTGATTCTGTGATAGAGGACCACACTGAGTCATCTGGTCCCACCTCCCTGCTCCAGCAGGGTCATCCCAGAGCACATGGCACAGGATTGTGTCCAGATGGTTCTGGAATATCTCTTATGAGGGAGACTCCACACCCTCTCTGATCTCTGTTTCAGTGCTCAGTCACTGCACAGGGAAGAAGTTCTTCCTCATGTCCAGGTGGAACTTGCTGGGCATCAGTTCCTGCCCGTTCCCCCTGTGCCATCGCTGAGCTCCCCGAGCAGAGCCTGGTCCATCCTGTGTCCCCTCCCTGCAGACAGTGACAGATGGTTGAGGGCCCCTCTCAGTGTCTCCTCTGGAGGCTGAACAGCCCCAGCTCCCTCAGCCTTTCCTCGTTACAGAGACGCCCCCAGTCATCCTTGTTGTCCTGTGTTGTACCCACTTCAGGAGCTCCATGTCTCTCACTCCCCCTTCCCAGGTCAAAACTCCTTGAGGAGGTGCAGAAAAGGCTTGGATAGAGTTTGGGATCCTGCCGGCTTTAAGTTATTTGCCCTGGAAAAGATGGAACAGCAAGATCTCCCCTTTTTTTCTCCTGGATTCCTTAGAAGGAGGTGGGATGCATACACGTGCTCATAGCCATTTTATTCTCTTATTGCATCCATGTCCTCATATTATTTTATTCTCTTATAATTGCTGCAGGATTAATTCTGACTGTGTGCAAAACTACCTATTTTACTCTAGTAAGAAAATACTCTGAACTGTTTTCTTTAGCAGAATTATTTAGGCAGAATATTTCATCCTGGCACATTCTTCTTTGACAATACACTTAGCTCACCTCAGTGCTGTGACCACTGTTCAGTCCAGCAGCTGTGCCTGTGTAGGGAATGAGTAGCCACTCGTGTAAAGCTGGAGGAGGTGTAGCTGTGTAAGCAGAGCTCGAGTAACACCCGGTGTGATCAGCCCATCCCTCCTGTGTGAAACACGAGCTGGGCTGCTCAGTTTCTGATCATTAGAGTTACATTTACTGCTTGGCAGGAGTGACATAGCAAGAATCAGGTGTGCATCATTCCCCCCTGAAGAGAGAGCTGCTGGCTATGGAGCTGTAAAAAATACCACAGAAAATCACAGAAAGATCTTTTGAGCTTATAATGAGAGGTTTTGGGTGGTGCTGAAATTGTGGTGACTTCCCTCCACTGCTGTGAAAAAAAGGATGAGTGTTTTCATGTTTAATCAACAAGGCAGAGAGAGGAAGTTTTATGCAGTTGATCACCAAAATAATGTCTTTCCCCCAAGCTGTTTATGAACTTTTGTGTAATTTTCTTTCAGAATTAAATATGATTATAAAAGCACTTAATCAAATCAGTTAAGGCTGAGAGAAATGGGATTGCTCAGCCTGGAGGAGAGAAGGCTTTGGGATGTTCTAATTGCCCTTTCCAGTGCCTGAAGGGGCTCCAAGGAGGCCGGAGAGGGACTTTGAACAAGGGCCTGGAGGGACAGGACAAGGGGGAATGGCTTTCCAGTGCCAGAGGGCAGGGTTAGATGGGATATTGAGAAGGAATTCTTGGCTGTGAGGGTGGTGAGGCCCTGGCACAGGTTGCCCAAAGAAGCTGTGGCTGCCCCTGGATCCCTGGAAGTGTCCAAGGCCAGGTTGGATAGGGCTTGGAGCAACCTGGGCTAGTGGAAAGTGTCCCTGCTCACAGTAGGGGGTGGAACTGGATGGTCTCGAAGGTCCCCTTCTAACTCAAACCATTCTCTGATTCATTGTTTAGGATTGATTTAATTTTAAATTATTATTTCTTATTACTATAATTAGTGGAAATTTGGCCTGGTCAGGACCCTACATTACATTGTCCTGATTTTCTCTTCCCTATCTTTAATTTATATCCTGATGTCTTTGGGTTTTTTTTGCAGGAGACACCAACAAATGGAATACAAATTAACTTAAGCCTACACGGGGCTGGTGACACCTGAAAGAAGGTAGGCAAAATTGATACATAAAGATGTGTTCCAGACTAAGTTAATGGTGATAAAAAATGCCAGTATGGCCTGGTATACTTTGGTATCATACTTGGTTATGATGTGAAAGAACATACTCATCTGGATGCCAAAAATGAACCAACACTTTTGAGTGGCTTTGCAAATACAGGAGATGATGTTTAAATGTGGTCTTGAACTCAGAGTGTGAGTTTTTCTAGGTCACCTAATGCTTTGTTTAGTAGCTATTAAAAAAATCAAGGATATTCTTATTGAAATTGTAGCATTGTAAATTATTTCTGATCGTAGTCTGCAGGAATAATAATGTGACAGACTCGTTGTCCTCTTTCCAACTGAATCCCAAAATCTGTCTTCCCAAATTCATTATGAATTGAGACTTTATAGAGGTTTGTTATTTAGAGTCCTTAAAAAGAGTCTGACCACTGACTTCTGGTGAATATTTTTATTTCAATACAAAATAATGAAATGGATTAAGACTTCTACTCAGGATAGGAAATTAAAATTTTGGGAGAACTGTGAAATAGTGCTTTTTTTTTAAGGCTTCTTTCCATCTTTGCTACTCCCCAGCATTCAGTTGGTTTCCAACATTACAGCTGCCATAACTGACTGACCCAGCTCTGGGATTTTTTGGAGCCAGATGTTTATCAGAGAAACTGTTCAGGTGGTCAGTGAGACAGAATTGTCCTTCCGTGAGACACAAGAAGGAAGGGATGCAGCCTGTGAAAAGTTTTTGCTGGATGTGTAATTATTTTAATAAAGCTTAGAGCAGTAGAGTGTTAGAGCCTGTCTTTTAAAACATAAATATTTTTTCAAGTTTCCTTCTTACAGCTCATAGGAGTTGGGAAGAATAAGGGACTTGCATTTCCTTTCTCTTCTTCCAGGGAAAGTGGAGAAGCTGTGCTCTGTGCTTTTTATCTGGTGTGTTGGGAGTACATTTTGGAGCATGTTTGCTACTTAGCAGGGAAGTGAAATTCAGGTATGATCCATTTTTTTTTTTAAAAAGGAAAGTTGATTTTGATTATTACATCATTTTATCTAATTTAATAATAGTTATGGTCATTATGTTACTGTTGCTGAAAACCATTTCCCCATAAATTGTATTTGGTGATCTTTAATGAGTTAAAAACTCTAAAAATAACATTCTTGTGGTTGTCAATCTGTGCATTGAGTCGTGCTGTGTGATAAAAGTAATCTTTCAGTTAAAAACCAAACCAAACCCCAAACTTGTTTTTATGAATGAATTCAAATTCAGTGATACTTGTGTTCTGAAAGCACTTTTTCTTCTAGGCACAAGAGGTTGTAAAT